ACTACACCAACATATTCATGCAATTAATTTAGCCGATTATTGTACAGTTGAAGGACAATAATCTTATAAGCTTTTCACGTCAATTTTATTAATTTATGATTATGTCGGAAGTCCTAGCGTTGTCCACTTACCATTATAAGATGACTTTTTTCCCCTCATGGTTGCCTGCCACGTCAATTCTGTATTCCATTGTCAATCTGCTTTTACTTACAATATGGGGGAAATGCATTTCAGGTGGGGCTTTGAAGCGAACAGATGTCGAGATGTTGTGGGTTCATGTAACATGCGCTTGGTTTCGGCCTGAAGTTCTTTTCCATAATCACGAGGCAATGGAACCTGCTTCTGGAATCCTTAAGATTCCTCCTAATTCCTTTTCGAAGGTAGAACATTGGGCTAAAAGGTTTTCTTGTAATTTACTGTAAGGTGGTTTCAGCTGGAAGTTTACAATAAGCTTTCTACCCGTACCGTAAGAACTTGTGTGGTTATTTTGATAACCGTGCAGAGGGCATTATTTGGGGGATGTTTGAAAAAAATTATACAATGCGATTTTATATTTTGATTATTTCATATCTTAAAATGGTTTTATAAATTATCATAAAAAGTATGCATCGAATGCTTTTTGTAATTTTTAAATAATAAATGTTTCGACACATTCATATTAGAAAAACTGCTCTTAAAAAATTGCTTTTCCAAGACATTTTCTACTAAAAAATAATTCTAGTAAACAGTACATTAATAGTCTGAAAATGCACCATATAATCTTGTACCTTCAATTCCCCACAGAAACAAAAACCCTCCCCATAATTTTGTTCATATTGATCTACATAATAGTGCTTAGGTTGTTATTTAATCTCTTGTCTGACTTCCTTCTCTCGTTGGGTCAGAGTTGGCATTACTCTTACATTCATTTTTAAACGTTTCCTGTGTATATTGACGGCAGACTTGCGTGATCTGTAAACAAAGGCACGGGTCCTGTACAAGTTGTTGCAAGTGTGCTACATATTTTCATGTGATGTGCGCGTCAAGAATGGGATATAGCATGGAAGTAAGTTTAATGGTCCTTTAGAATGTGAACGAATCACTGATCTAAAGCTGTTGTTTTTTCTTAACTTGTTCTTAGGGCAGGGGTGTCATTAAGGTTTCCGTGGAAGTAGTATTTAATTATACGTTAACATACATATTTGATTTTTATATACATGAATTATTCACTATATTAGAAAACCTTAAACATAATATTTATACTAGTGTTTTCTTTTTGATTGTGCTTTTTTTTTTTTTTAATAATGTCAGACAAATATAGACATGATTAATTTGAAGAACAATAAAACAATGAAAACCATAGTCTAATAAAATATTTGCATTAAGATTAACACGTAAATATTTTTAGTAAAGGAATTAATTTAAGTTTGTTTAAATTTACAGTTGCGAACTACAGAAAAGAATGGGACTCAACTAACAAAGACGCTAATATATTGTGCAGTTCACAGGTTTGAGCTCTGGCCACTAAATTATGCTAGCTTATTTTCCACGTGATTTTTGAAAGAACGTTTCTATATTTAAATATCATTTTAGGGTCCCAAATCCAGATTCAGTACTGGTTGTACACACACCCATGGGGGTATTCTCTCCGAGAACTTCACTTCAAAATCATAATGGATGCTTCAGGGGATCAAGGCTGGTTTCATCAAAGAATATAGAACCACTTGAACCTTCAACCTCCGAAAGTTGTGAGGTTGAGCCATTGTCTGCTGCCAGGTGTCGTGTGTACAAAAGGCCTCCAAATAAGGTGATTATTATTAGAATATTCTATTGCAGCCATAAATATAATATATTAACTTCTCTAGCTTTTTGTCTTATGGGCATAGACCCTTTGGCGTTACTGCTGCATTCAAAACTAAATACTATTATCCCGATTTGGTGTAAACGGGGTATTTACTTACATAATCTGATTTGTTTAGCTTGGTCTCATTCGATATGTTTTCCCTACATTGCCAGAAGAATGATATACCAATAATTCATTTGCTTGGGGGCCCAAACCTTCATTCTTTAAGTGCAATAAGTCAATTGAACAGTAATAAGGTAATCTTCTTGTTTTGGTGTTCGATCTATTGCTTTTGAAATGGATAACTAGTCTTTTTGAGCTGTGGTGGACTGTACCACATGGATTTTTTTTTGACTGGTTGAAAAAAATATCTTGAGTTGTAATATTGTTCTGTGATAGGATGCTGAAGTATTTTCTACTCTCAAGGAACGTCTTCACCACTTACGGGTCAGTTGGTCCCTCCATTTGCTCTAGTTAAAGCTTCATTTTCATTTATAATTTTTTTTTAAATTAAAATTGTTTCTCGTTTTTTGCCTCTTGTTTTGTCAACCTTCAATGTTTTGGGGGTGCAGAAAACGGAAAACCGTAGAGTTTGCTTAGGAAAATCAGCTATTCAAGGATGGGGCCTCTTTGCTCGTAGAGACTTACAAGAAGGGGAAATGGTAACTTACTCTATTAATTTCAGATGATCACTGAAGTGTAAGATTAACATTTACCTGAGTTTTCTCTGAGAAATAATAACTACATGCTTCTTATGCCTGTCTGCAGGTTGTTGAATATCGTGGTGAGCAGGTAAGGCGTAGTGTTGCTGACCTGAGGGAAACAAAATATCGTTCAGAAGGCAAAGATTGTTACGTAAGTCTCTTGTTTAAGATTGTTTTTGATATTTGTCTGTAGCCTGTACTATACTCCCAGTCACTTGATGCGTGCTGCTTCACATTGTGTTTGGATAAAATGGCATTCATGTGATTGGTAACTCAAATTTTGTGGGTAGAATGCTAAAAAGTAATAAATTAATTGTTTTTCAAAATCCCAAAGAATTAAATAGTTTATATTTAGAAATCCGATCAAATATTATGTGATCTATCAGAATTTGATTTGATTTAAAATTGTTTTATTTTCATTAAAACAACGTTGGCTTTCAATATTTTAAGGGTAATAAAACTGCCAATAATAAATTCAAATGAAATTAACTCCATTTTTAATATGTTCTAGACACATTAATTCTCTCTCTTCCCCTCTGAGAAATAGCTAAACTGTCAACGCTAGATTTTTTTGTTGCGGGATAAGGGGGATTGCGATTTGAACCTTGGTCTTCTACCTTTTGTATCATGTTTCATTTGTACTCTTTTAGTTCATGTCTTTTTTTTTGTCATGTTTGTTTAAATGCCTGTTTTAGACGAATTCATGTTTACTGTTAAAGTTAGGAACTGTTGATCTTAATACCAAATGAAATAAATTATGCAGCTGTTCAAGATTAGCGAGGAAGTTGTAATCGATGCAACGGATAAGGGCAATATTGCACGTTTAATAAACCATTCTGTAAGTTATTTATGTCAAATCTTGTCTTTGGGCTTTGGTTTTATTCCGTGGGAATTGATGTTAGCTTATGAATATTGTGTACTTACGAAAAATATTATGAATGAACCTGATCTGCTGCAGTGCATGCCAAACTGCTATGCAAGGATCATGAGTTTGAGTGATCAGGAGAGCCGCATTGTACTCATTGCCAAGACCAATGTTCCAGCTGGAGAAGAACTAACGTACGGTTTGTTGTGTTTGTTTATATTTTGATGCAGTGCACGTAAGGAATCATGGTTATTGAATGTGTCATACAGCATACTGAATATTCTTATTTGGTTTAGGAATGAAGATCTTGATTAGTCTGACATGAATAACCATTTTTTCATCTCTCGATTTTGCAACAGCTATGATTATTTGTTTGATCCTGATGAACGGGATGAACTCAAGGTTCCCTGCTTCTGTAAAGCCCCCAATTGTAGGAGATTCATGAACTAGGTTCCACATCGTTTCTGCGCGTGGGGCAATTGCAGTTACCAAACCTTGAAGGAAATATTTGTCGATTCATCATGTAATTTTGTAATTTCTTAGAAGTTAAATTAATTTGTATATCATTTTATTTAAATAATTAAAGGAAAATTTGCCAGCCATGAGCTGGAATCATTTTTTGTAACTTGCTAGGTGTTCCAGTTTGTTCTTCAATTTATGATGGTTTGAAGCAATTTATAACGCAGTAACAAGACGGACTCAATTTATAAAAATTTAAATTTTTTATTCGTAATTTTTACATTCATCCTACTGTTCTTATTTATTTTTCTTTTTTTATTATTACATTATCTATTATTGTTTTTCTTTCGTTCTTCAAAGGGTGTACGTATTCTTGGGTATGAAATATCTTTTTTGCATTCATAATTATTACACAGATTCATAGTTAATGATAAAAAAATTTTGTAAGGAAAAAAAGAAAAGAAAAAGAAACCATGTTAGATTCAGTAGAAGGCGATTGAGTCCTTCAAGCATGTGACTTCGAATTTGATTTCAAACTGTGTATTAAAAAATGTGGTTGGACTTGGGGGAAATTTTTGTTTTAATGCATAATATTTAAAGGGATCGAGTATTTTACTTATTGGGTGAGGAAATGCTTTGCGAAATTAAAAACGCAAGAACATCTCTTCGACAAAGTCTATGATGATTAAAAACCATTCACCCTACAATAAAAATTTGAAATGAATTTGATGATGGGGGCCAACTTAGTATCATAATAGGACGTTTTATGGAGTAACATCCACTTCCCTGAAACAGGATGGTTTACGTAGTATGTAACCGTTAAACTATTAAAAGCTGAAGAAGAATAATTCAACGATCATTGGGATATTCTAATTGCCCAATATGAGGCGCAAAATAGCAAAATAATTTTAAATAATTGCTGGATATGCTGACATGACAAACAAGGACATTTGGGACACTAATTCTGCACATAGCTGCCTTAAATAAATCACTCCTTCAACATCTTCATTACACTACACCAATATATTATATCATCTGACTTTCAGAATTGCATTTTTAAATTGGACGGATGATTTTCAAACTCCGGATTCTTCTTTTATAAGCTGGTCCTTGGTCCCTTCCCAAAGCAAATTTGTTCATCTGAAAAGCAATGGACATCTTGAAGGTCCACTTCTTCCATTTCTTCATCATTTTTCATGTCATATATGCCTCAAATGATTGCAAATTTTCATGGTGCAGCGACAATGACATCCTTATTCGTTTCCCTTTTCAATTAGGTGAGCAACGACCTTATTGTGGGTACCCTGGTTTCAAATTAACATGTACTAATGATAGCAAAACAGTTCTAACGCTTCCATATGCGGGAGAATTCTATGTCCGCAACATTGATTACTTCAGACAACAGATACAAGTGTATGACCCTCATAATTGCCTTCCAAAACGTCTTCTAAGTCTCAATCTTTCAGGTTCTCCCTTTATTGCCGCTTTTGATCATAACTACACCTTCTTAAGCTGCCCAACTCAAAACACAGTCACAGGTTCACAATTCATTCCCATTGATTGTCTTAGCAATTCTACATCTTTCGTGTCTGCTATTCCTTCAGTGAACTTGACCAATTCATTGCGGGGTTCTTGCTCTGTTATTAAGAAGCTCTCAGTTGCAATTGCAAGGCCAAGACAATATGTGGAAAATTTCAAAGATGACCTTACTGAAGATCTTCAATTAACATGGTATGCACCTGATTGTAGATATTGCGAAGCACAAGAGGCCATGTGTGGATTTGAGAGCATAAACAGTAGTCAAGTTCAGTGTTTCTTTGATTACCAAACGGGTAAACATGTTATTTAATTTTTAATATGCTTTTTTCCGTATGTTAACTCATTTGCTTAGTTACAAACTTGATGATCAAAACTTTTAAATGAAACGAGGAGCCACTGACTTGTTCGTTTTCTTAATGGATCTGCTACTTTTAGGTGGGCCATAATCTTGACACACAAGGAATTGTTAGAAAAATTAGTTTTTGACTAAAATATAAGAGGAAAAATTAAAGTCAATGTTTTGATCTCAGTAGCCATAATCATACGATTTTTTTTGTTTATGTCTGTTGACCTGAACAGTTGGTTTACTTGTTGGAACTAAATTAATGGCGAACTCATAAACAACTAATGGCGAAAATCAATAAAAAAAAAATAGTGAAGTCAGTGCCTTGCGTGCAAACTGCAAATTGAAAATGGAAAGTCATATCATGCCTACTGATAGAGCAGATGGTGAAGTGGTAATGTGCATCATCTTTACGTTTAATTGGATTAACATTAAGTCAAGTTGATCCTTCAAAATTACGTGATTAATTTTTAAAAATTTTGGGTAGCAATTAAACCTAAGATATTTATTGGACATCACAAAAGAAAAGGTAGACCAAGTGGTACTCTCTACTTGCAAAGGACTCAAACAAAAACTAGAAAAAAAGTTAGAACGTTAATTTAGTGTTTTTTATAGAATTAATTTGATAACAATCTTTAAAAAGATGATGTTTTTAAATTTTTAAAGAACTGATTTGATGAATAAAATTATTTGAAAACTAAGATAATATCAGGTGTAATTTAAATGTAGGTCAACTTGCTGTTGAATTTACTCTATTTAATAGTCTTCAATTTTCAGGTCGTTCACAACACGGTCTTCGAGTTTTTGGAATCATCACATTATCCATTGCTGGACCAGCTATCATCTGTGCTATTGGGATGACATGCTTCGCGTGCTTAAAGTACAACAGAGGCATTAGCCCCAGAATTGCTGCAGCACAGAGGTCAGCAGCAACTGAAATACCTGCCATTACCCGGATGGGGCTTGATGAGTTTACAATTGAGTCTTACCAGAAGTTAGTATTAGGGGAGAGCCGAAGACTGCCAGGACTCAACGATGGATGTTGCACGATATGCCTGTCAGAGTATAAAACAAAAGACACAATCAGATGCATTCCAGAATGTGCACACTGCTTCCATGCAGATTGCATAGATGAATGGCTTCGGATGAACACTACATGCCCCCTTTGCCGCAACTCTCCATCTCCTTCTTCTACTGTTCCAGTTGTGTCCAGTAGTGTGACCCTTGATTGATTATGAATTTACCCATTAAGCGCTGTACGAGAATTCTAGCTGCTCTCGTTTGTAAATCACACTCCAAGGCTTAGGAATATGTATCATTATTTGTATGACTTAAATGTGTTTATTGTGAATTTATTTTAACGTGGGTTGTAATAATTGAATAAAATAAAATAAGAACAGCAATACTAACTGCTGCTCATTTCCTAATCTAACAAGACGAAAATTGGAATTGCTCATAATGTATAATGCTTTGGGTTATACACTGTTTAACTTCCTTTGGCTGCTGGTTATGGAATTATTACATCAAATACATCCCACGATGAACACAAACGAACAAAAAAGACGTGCATTAGTCAGTTCCCAAGCCAGAGGATACAACTGACTCCTAAACAAAAACGTACAAATAGTTATTAAGTACTGTACAGAGAAGGAACTGCTTCAGAGATAGATGTATCTCAAAGTACTTTTCATTTCTTTGCAAGCAGCTTCTTTGGAAGTTTATTCAGGGGAGTCGATTTTAAAAGAAAAAGCCTGGCAGCACGCTCCTGCAAGGTGCCTCCACATTTTAACCCACGTGACTGCAGTTCAGACTTCAACGTTTCCAAGCCTAGAACCTGCCATGACCATAGCAACCAGAGATAAATCAAACTTCAGATGCTAATTATATGGTACTTGACTAGTGGATCTAGTTCATAAATTAGATGATTTGTCACATCTTTTGAAGCATCTCAATAACTACCAGTTTGTCCCTTGACATTTTGTTATATGTAAAAAAAATTACTTCCAAAAATCGAAACATCAGTAGGACTAATAAGAATAATAGTTACTTAATAGTCCCTACTTGCATCAGTTATGTAAGAGTAGATTTATCAAATCAAACTCAAGATATAAACTACGTAGAGCATATGATACGGAATAGCAAAGGCAAAGGGCAGCAGCACACAGACTGACAGACAGAAGTAGTGGATAAGTTACTGAAAACATACCTCAAGTTCTGCAGCTGAATTAAAAGCATCAAAATTCAGAGGCTCCTCCAATGCAGGAATGCTAGTGCTTGGAGAGCTTTCTTCATGGACTGCTGCTTTATGCTCAAGAGATCCATCAATTTCCATATCATTAGATTTGCTTGCATCAACCACAGTTTCAGAGATTGTAACATTTGAGGCTTGACTGACAGCACCAACAAACTTGTCAGCCACACCTCCATCGCAATCCTGATTTCCATTATCTTCAGCATTAATTCCAGAAAGCACTGACTCCAAACAAGGCAGAGCAGTAGCCTCCATTATCTCATCATTTATCACAGGTTCGGCCACAACACTTTCACTGCTCTGCAATCCAACAGTTTCCTTCTCTTCTTCAGACCCACTTTCACACGAGCCAGCACCAGAAGAGTCTCCATCTCGTTTCCCACCAGTCACCGAGCCCAAACTGCCTTCAGCCTTATTTGACTCCGACTCATTCTGGCCACTTAACAGAACTGACTTTTCAGTTTCCCCGTCATCATCATCGTCGGAATAATCACTATCACTTTCATTCAGTTTCCTCTTCCCCATCCTACAATATCCAATCAACACCAATATCAATTAAAACACCTTTACAATTGTGCAACAGTGATTCATATGTAAACAAACAATCATCAACAACCCAAAATGTAATCAAGGAACCACATAACAATATTCCATCCAAAACACTTCACGTGTCACTCACAATCAGAGAACTTACACAAAACCTATATATATTATTCCTATACGTAAAAAAATGTTAAAAATAAAAACACAAAGCAGATGACTTAACTTACCAAATCTTAAACTTCTTGGCATCATGGGGTAAAGAAGATTGTGAAGGGCTCTTACGCTTACAACTGAGAGCCTCCTTAACGGACAAGGCAACCTCAGCAACACAACGTTCAGATTCTTCCCTGTATTTAGCAACGTATTTGTGAGCCTCGCCATCACCAACGCCCTTCTTACCCTTCTTCATCTGCTTCTTCAGAAAATCTTCTGCCACCTTCTCCAGCCTTCTCTCCTCTTCCCCAGCCTTCCACTCCTCCAACCTCTTCTCCGCGTTCACGTGCCTCAGTCTCCGTCCACTCATATCTCTGCACGCGTCGAAATTGTTCGTCTTCTTCTGCCCCGCCTTCGTCGCCGCCCCGCGCAACAGCGACCCGAACCCTCCTTTCCCTCCTTTCAACCGCAACAGCAGCCGAACCGACGGGAAGATGTTGCCGTCCTCCGGCGAACACTGGATCACCGATTTCTCGTCGTTGAGGTGGCGGCAACCGGTGACGAGGCGCTGATGTTGGATGGGGATTCCGGTGAGTTCGAAGAGGCGATCCTTAATGGAATTCGCGTGTAGGATCGGAGAGGGGAATGTTAGGGTTAGGGTTTTCCCGTCCAAGTGCTTCACGAACAGGTTGTACATCTTGTTGCCCTTGTTCTGCTCCATTCTCCAATTCCAGATTTCGAGAAGAATTACACGCAGCGATACGAGAATGTCAATTTGGGGAAATTTCAGAAATTAGGGTTTGGGGAAATTGGAGAGAGAGAGAGAGAGAGAGAGAGAGAGAGAGATGCAGATGCGGTAATGTTTTGGGCGACTGTGGAAATTGATAAAGTGAGAATCTACACTCTACACCTAATTAATTTAAAATACAAACTAAGTTTTTATCATTATTCTGTAATTTTAAAATTGGATCTTAATTTTGGTTTTGATTTTAATTATTATTAAACTAGAGATCATAAATAATGCAGTCATTGATTGTGTATCATCGATTCAAAATGTATACCATCGTATTATACAGCCTTTAAAATAAAAATTCAATTAAAAAATATTAATAGTATAATTTTTTATATGATCATAGACTCTCGTATTAATCGAAATTGTTAATTTTGTATTAATTAATTTAAATATCATATTTATCATATGTTCTAATTAATTAATATTATAAAAATCTTTACACCAACTATATTAAAGTTAAACTCTAAAATAAAATAAGTTGACACAAAATTATAAAATGAAAGTTAAATATTTTAAATTAATAAATTATTATTTAAATTTGTAATTTGTATTAATTACATTAATAATCTATTCCTCATAAATATTTTAATACAAAATTACACTTCATCTAAGCCTTTTCTGGTCACTACATATATATCCACATAGGGTTGTTGAAGGAATTCTTAAGCAACCTTCTCATCTCATGTTACATAGGCACACAGAATAGCTATGGAGTAGGGATACGCAAGTTTGGTTTGTATTTAAAATTGAACTTGCATGCATTAGAACACCCGCACCCCTATCCCCTAGTGTTTTTGATCAGTGAAATCTGGCTCAGCTGGCTTTGGAGGCAAAAGGGGTAGTAGTCTTTGCGGCATTGTGTTGTGTCTGATATTTTCTCTCAAGTTTCGTAATGCATTAGCAGCAAACCTTGATGCATATATGGTTGCACCAAGGCTTAGAGGAGACCCATCCTCATTTGCCAATGCATCTTGTAGCTTCTCTTCTTCTGCACTCAATGATCTCTCTGTCTTCTTTTTCCAATATCTACGCCAAGCTGCTTGTATGAAACATGCAGCCCATGTCTTCCACTGTGAGGAATAGAACCTGCATGGAAATAACACAACCGCATTGCTCAATTAATTGATGAGGTAATGAACTTTTCTTTTCTTTTTTCTTCATTAGAAAAACAAAGAATTGTATAATAAGATTGGTGTCCTATAGTTTTTATAAATGTTGCTATTGCTAATGTGTTTATAATCTGATGTTAAAATAAGCAAATTAATCTCAACAGTCAGAACCTAAACATAATTTATGGTTTTTGAATTCCATTTTTCTAGTATGTCCTGACACAATAAAAACTCATATTTTAAGTTTTTATTGAAAATAATAAAACATTGCGAAATTCAACGTACTAATAGCATTATATATTATATTTTTTAATAAAAAATTTATTTTAGTTTTTATTTTTTAACGCAAAAAAACAGTTTTGAAATATATTCGCACCTTGTGTCCTATTGTTGCGCAGTGTTCCACAAAATGTAATTATGCATCATCAAAAGAGGGAAAGAGAGAAATGAACATGATATGAATGAAGGCTTACCTAAAAGTGTGTTGTAGCTGTTTGCTGTTAAGACGTCGAAATTGGGAAGCAACAAACTTCAAGTCATCAGCCATGAGAGCAAAGGCTTCAACTTCTGAAATGGTTTCAACAGTCCTAGTTGAAATGGGTAGATTTGAGGAGGAGTTGGGATCCAAGGCCCATGTCAGAAGCTCCTCTCCACAGAAGTCACCAGCCATGAGAAATAAGGAGTTGAAGAAACCAGTTCTTCCACCATTTGTTGTCATAGTAGAAACTTTTCCACGCATAATGAAAAGCATCTCATCAACTGGATCTCCTTCACGAACTATGTAGCTCTTCTCAGTATAAAGGACTGGCTTCAGCCTGTCACACATTGCATCCAACAACTGCTCATCCATTTTCTCAAACATTGGCACCTAAACCATGCAATAAGAACATCAAAATGTTCATTACACTGTAGTTAGATCATCATCATAATAATAATAATTAGATGGGGTGACATGATTATGGATTTTGGATGATACCCACTTTTTTAACTAAAGCTAGGCAAAGGTGACGCTTTATGTCCCTTCTAAGATCTTTAGGAAGGTTACGAATTAATGCCTCCTCCTCCACACCCCTATTTTCTTGCCATTTGTACTGTTCATACCGCCTAATTCTTTCCTTCAAGTTCTCAGGTAGCATACGGTGGGACATCCACTGTTCAGCATCCCTTCTCTTCACTCTCATCTCTTCCAGTCTAACAGTTGTAGATTGCAGATATTTCTGTAACAATATTCAACACTAACTAATGTTGCATAATAAACTAACTTTTCAAATGTTAGGTGGGCATGTCCTAAATCACAAGTGAGTAAATTGTAATTTAGCAACCTATAAAAGGAAGAATTTTTCTATTATAACTTCTTGGTATAAATATTTAAATCAACAGTAGAGATAGGGCAGTGCAATATACATTGCTTCATCGGGGTATGCTCATTATTTTTTGAAAAAAACAATTCTTGAACTTGGCCCGTCAACAACTAAATTACCTGCATGTTTCCAATAAGTAGCGAAAATAAAACCAATCCAAAGATGGCAATGAAGATAGCAAAGAATATCTCCACCATATAAGTACTTGTCTTGAGGTTTTGTCCAAGAGAACTGCAAAAGGTGACATTTTTAACTTGTCATGCTTTTAATCCATCTTCTAATAAATTGCAATAATATTTCCTTGCTATAAGATGTTACAAACACTGCATTTGCATATATAAGAAGACAGGAACATAGAAGATTGTTGACCAACCTTAAATTGCGCAAACCCCACCAAAAGCAGTAGAAGAACTTCTGAGGAAAATCTGTTGCTGATTCTACCACACCTGATTCTAGAGCATCAAAAAATATTCCAAAATTGAAGGTGTTTTTGTCTTTAATTTCATCAGGGTCAATGAAAGGGCAAGTTGTATTGAGAACTGGAAAGACATTTTTATCACGGTCTACACAGCTCAAGTATTCTGCTCGAAAGAGTGAAGCATTCTTCAAAGATCTGCGCCAGCACCGCACCTCTGACTCCACCGAAAGCAGATACCAGGTAGCTCCAACCATCTGGTAAGCCACATGTATTTGGTGATCGTGACTTAGCATGATAATGATAACTATCTAGGAACACACATAAAGTGGACTTGAATAAGCAATGAAATCAAATGCTTACATGACTTGCTAGCATGTAGAGAAAAAGATTATAAGCAGCTCCAGCCCATGCTGTCTCAGTCAATATGCCAGAGGTTCTAGTTACTTCTTGGAATAGTGGATAGATCCGCAAAAGTCTTGGCACATACTGGATCAATACTGAATACTTCAACAGATCCTTTGCTACAAATGGATATGATGTTTTGAGGTTTCGATTTATGGCTAAAATAATCACCTGAAGTGTCAAACACAAAATCGAAGTACAGTTCTATCAGGAAAATGTGTTTCAAGGCAAAATTGGGACAACAAAAAGTTGTTTTTCATTTTGAGGTTTTTTCGTTTTTTTTTTGAGAAGTGAGTATACGGAATAGATGAAAGTTGGTGAAAGATAAAAATAATTACATTCAATGTCACGTATGTTGTCTAATTTTTTTATGTTCTAATATTGGAACTGTAACTTATTATGTCTTTCACATCTAATTGAACTGAAAAACATTGATATACAAATGCCTTTGTTTTGGCTACTAATCCTTGGAAAATAAATATATATAACTACGAATTTAAGAGGGAGATACCTGTGGAAGTGGAATAATTGATAGAATATCAATGATGAAGTGTGAAGTTAAGTATCTTTTCACTATAGCCACAGGATCATTAATGAGCTCTCCCCTTCCAAAAACACGAGAAGAAGGGGCAATGAACCCTGTCCGAAACTGAAAGATTATGCGAAGAATGTAGAAAAGATCAAAGAAGGTGCGAAGAACACTGGCAGTGATCTGCAATGTTCCATCCAGATTAAGACATTTGCTTTTGTCATCGATCACTGGAATGTAAAAGAAGAGAGGGTCCACAGAAACTGCCAACACACATGTTAGCACAAAGATTTTATTCCATTTCTGAAGGATTGGACCCTGTGGATCAAGAATTTTGTTCCTAGGAAGCAGATTTTTTTGTCCATCACTTAGAGGATGAACAGCTGAAGGTCTTCTCAAGTTTTTCATTTTCTTCGACCCATTGTCGAGTCTTCTTCCAATACTCTTCAAAACAGCACTCACACTTGGTCTACCTTTTCTTTTGTGATGACCATTGTTAACAGAATCTTCCTGTTCTGTACTAAAAGATGACTCTGATTTCCAGTCCTCAAATCTGGATGGAGAGAAATTCAGACTTAGTATGTATATATCAGTTACATGTTAGTTTCCAACAATTTCAAAAATCATATCATCAGTAGAAATATTAAGAAATATTCAGCAACAGCAGGACCGAGTAACCTCACCTCACAAATTTATGTCCCTTTGCATTCATGATTACACTACTTCAGCATTCAATGAGAAGGGGTAAGCTTTGCAGAAGGAGAAGATTCAGGCCTGAAAAATATAACATCAAAAGAAACTTATTTTCGCCTTCCCGGAGTTAAAGTAGTGGGAATGTAACTAGAATAGGAAAGAGTCAATGAATTGTTTAACAATAATATAAGTTAATTAAAGTTACAAAATATATCCACCAAGCATATTTAAATTCAAGTCAAGTCATTCTCCAAAGGGTCAAGTACGCACCATGCCAACCAACCAACCTCAACCAGGGTCAGAAATGAATTTTATAGATAAACAAACCAAAGGACGCGCCAAATTTTTAAGAGAGAAAAAGACGTGGGGACACTAGAACAACCATCCGAAACTATCCATCTCATAAGGACCAATGATAAAAAATAAGATGAACCAAAAAGGATAAACAAGTAACTAGCAGGTTAATAGGAACAAAGTGAATCAATCAGAAGGAACTTCAGTGCAGGCAGCAAACAGGAAGACATGTATTATGTATACAATAAACAATCAGAAAAGTCATGAGTTGGGTTTTTCTCATACGTGAAACATCAAACTCAGTTCAGTGAAGAAGGCCAAACATCAACATAAAGTTGCAAAAAGTGGAAAGGTAGTTAAATATAAATGTGTTTTTCATAAAAGGAAAAGGAAACAGCAACTTAATAAATATGGAAAGTTACATGCAGTGTCGCTATTGTCAGAAGGAGCGTTGCAGGCTTCAGAGTTCACAGAATGATAAATGAAATGATGGGGGCATTTTGTTGTTGTGTTAATGAGAGAGAATGAGAAAAAACATGGAAGAAGTGGGAGTGAAGAACAAAGACCAAGTCGACGCCGTTAGAAGAGTCAAGTCACGCCAGCTCATGCAAAAACAGCGCAATATGAAAATGAAATACGACACATTTCTTGTTGAATTATAGTATATAATATGAACTATTACCCTACTCTCCTAGAAAATTCAGGCACGGAAAGCACAAAGTTTTAAATATTTGATCAAGTGTTAAAGATAACGAAATAACAATATTTTTTCAAAAAAATAAAACGCAAGAAACCTGGTCTTTTAAATAAGATAAAGGTGGTCTAGTTGAAAGCAACAAATAGATTTTGAAAAAATGTATAAATTTATTCAGTTCAATTCATCGAAAAAAATATAAATTTAATTTTCAGCAGCGGGAATTTAACAGAAAAAAAAAACAGGTAATGATAAGACACACAGTGATAATAATTTTCATTTTCCTAAAAAAGAGAGAAGTAGATACTAAAAGTTTATATGAAACATTAGTTATAATAATAGATTGCATTAAAAAGATCCAATAATGATTTTAAATATCATTTGCTTATAATGCTCGATAGTACGAAAATTAATTGCATGGATTGACCGACGAAATTGTATAAGCACTGCCATATTCGATTATCACCAAATTTCCTTTTTTTTTCAAATTTTTTATTTTATATCGATTTGATAAAATACGAACAAGTGTCACATACTAAATTCCTCGCACTCATTTTCAAATTAAATAACACTTTTGTTTGCTTATTATTTAGATGATTGTTTTTGTCTAATTTTTTTTATCACAATATATCGAGCTTTAAAAAAACGATTTAATTTATATGTTATTTAAAGATTCAAAGAGAACTAATTATCTTAACTATATTATTTCGTATAAAAAAATTATATGAAAGTATTCTATACAAAAAAGACAGGCAAAAGACAAAATAATTATCCCATGAAAATGTCATTACCTTATAATAAATTTCCAAAAATGCTATGATTATAGTTTTTGAGTGGGAAACCAATAGCTCCAGAAGTTAACACGTATATGAAGGCTAGATGATTTTAATACAACTATAGATTGTGGATTTTAAAAAGAATTAAAAAGGGAAAGGTCTTGGAAATGACTTGAGATTGTAAGTGTTAAATTTCTATTGGGGTGATTTTCACTCAACTTGAAGCGCTAAGGGTACGTGTTCTCACAAGGTTAGTTGATGGACACAAGGACTCCCGGGTCAACTTCACTTTTGTGGAAATGGCAAACCTGTTAATTTGACAAATCAAATCTATCATGTACTTGGAAATGGGAAATGTCAAAACAATTTTATTCTGGCAAGGTAACTGGATTAATGGTAAAAAGACTTTGAGGGAGTGATTAGATTAATTTGGAATTAGTAGGGTTTGTGGTAAGATTTGAATTCATTTTTTTTATTAAAAAAAAACTGCATTATAGTTTGAGGTATATCGGTTTAGATATGATATAAAATTAAATTTAATCTATTTTGATAGAAAGTATTTAATTGGTACTGAATGACTTAGATTTTGTATCTTTATTTGTAAATTATTTATTTAGTTAAAAGGTGGTGACTAAATATTTTATTAAAACTTATTTTTCATATAAAATATAAAAGTTATATAATATAGGAAAATGTGATATATAAGAACAATTTTAAATTAATCCAAAATTAATAAACTTACGAATACATTAAAATAATAAGATATAATTTTGATAATAACATCATAAAAAAACATTATAAATTTATAAATATATAATTATAAAACATCACAAAATTAGTTGAGTGAAGCAATGTAACATCTCAGCTAATCTTAGAATGGGATATCATCCCCTATACCAAAAATTTGTACACAGTGAACGACACCAACATCTTGGAGTTTAGATGTCTCAGTATACAACACGGACTACCAAACAAACATGCGAATTTCTTTCATATTATGTGTATATAATAAACAAAACCTCTTGTATCCTACGACAGACAAGAATTGCAACTTCACATCGTCTCCACATAGTAATGTTATTTTGCACTGAAGAATAATAATTCTGTCCGTTCTCATGAGTAATGTAAAGTGGAACACTGTTACAATCACGTCAACCTTTATGTTGACACGGATCAACGAATATAAATCCAAATTGCATCCATTATATCCCAAACACACCGCCCAACATTTCCAAATAGCACATTCTCAAAAATAAAATAAAAATTATAAAATCAAAAGATTACTACTTCAGCTAACAATCGACGTTTTCCATCTTCGTGCTGAGCATCCTAGACGACACATTTATTGATCCTAAGTTTTTCACCTAACCTACCAATTTTAACGTGAAACATAACTTGCTTCAACTTCACTTATGATTTCTCCTCGTCTGACTGAGAGCCTCGGGGATCTGTATTGACAAAGAAGTCGTCCACTGAAATAATACCAAAGCCATCTTTGTTACAATCAAACTAGAACCTTCAGAATCTAACCATTGAAAACAGAAACCACTAACATCGCAAACTTAAAAAGCAACAATCATTTCTATTCATTTATGTACACTATTATTTAGCAAATTAAGTAAATCAACATCCATCAAAATGCAAGTTGAAATGGAGCCCATAACATGTTAACTTTTATTTATTAAAAAAAATGATATATACCTGCCGGTTTTAATCATTCGTAATCGTGTGCTGTAAGATATAGGTTTACAAATTGAACTTTATGCCACAGCTCATTTATTGATGCAAAAGCATGCAATCAATCAGAACCCAGGCACTTGGCCTGCTTCACCGCAAGGAAGCATGTGTCGGAGGTGGACAAAAGAAGATAACTATCTAAATTTTTTACATCATTGTTAATTTTATTCTGGCTTAATATTTTCATTTCTATCCTGTTAATGAAAATCTTCTCTATATTATCCAATTCTTCATGGTTTTGTATGCTCTCCCATTAACCTAATTTTTGGGATTTCAATTTCTTTGTGAACTATTTCACATTATATATTTGTCGTTCGATTTATTTCAACGTTTGCCTCTAACCAGATTTTATAAAAGTATAAAGTCTACATTCTAGGTTCTAGATATATATTCTGCAGTCATTCATGACTGTAAACTAAGCGTGTAAGAAAAGTCTAACATTTCTTTTAATGCAAACATTGACTTTACTGTTTGCCCATGAATTACCCAGGGTACGTATATACTTTGTGGAGGTTCAGAATTTAGTAGATTCAGCTGATTGTCATCTGAATCTATTTCGGCCAGTATTATTCACCAAATGTATTAAAATTTAAGATTAAAAAATGGAAAAAGATACTGAGACACATTCATATGCATTTTTACCTATGTCCTTTTGATCCGATGATTCAAGCATAATATCTGAATTGGATTGCATAAATGGTGAACCAGGATAGTTTCCTAGAGCTCCTAGATCTGCATAGAAAGATTATTCATAAACAAAGAATGAAGATGTCCAAAATAAGTAAACATTTAACAAATACCAGCAAGTCAAGTCAGTTATATAGATCATACATCATTATTGAACTTAGTCAAAAATTAAATTTTTAGAAATATTTATCATGATATTAATAATTTCCTTCAAAGTTCTTTTGTATCTACCTTTACACTTTTTCACAAAGCTTAAAACTATACAATCAGCCTTCTCATTGGTGCCTCTAGTAACTAATAGGTAAATATTTAAAAAGAAGGGAAAAATTACAACAGAAGCCAAAGGTCCCAAAATCGTCAAAAGCTGTAAATCTCAAACAACTTAACTTCCAGATGGCCTCTGATTACACTTGGATTATATATCAAAAAATGGATCTAAAAAATATTTAAAGAAATATTTACCTCCCAAGTTTGACAAATCTGCTGTTAGATCAGACAGACTAAAATTCCACTGAATTTGATCCAGGGATCTGGAAATCCCCGTGCCATTATCTGGTGCAAGTTGCAGTCCTACAGAGCTTACCACATCAGATGTAAATGCTGTCTCAAGAGCAGATGCATCTGTGCCCATTCCTGATAATTCTGAGGGAGTGAAGGGAAAATGGCCACTGGATGCTACTGATGTCGGACTCACTGGCATTTCTGACAAGGATGACATTGCACTAGTTGGTGGAATAACAGGAGCCATATCCGGAGCACTGTGGTCCATCACCATACTTCAACAAGGAAAGAAGCAGCTACCATTATTCTATCAGCCAAATTACTTAAGAACAAGGAAGAGGAAGCAGTTGTTCCACATTCCACCAATTTAACTAACACTTAAGTACATGACAGCCATAACAATCCCAGCATAATGTGTTTAACATGGAAACACCAAAAAGTGACACATTTGAATGTTTAAGCCATTATTTCTATCAATTGCCAACTCTCCTAAAAACTTTAAGCTTTTATCTCACCCGAATGCATGAGCCCCTTGATCTTGAAGTGTAGGCATGCCAATTGCCAAGTCTCGTTAAAAGCTGAATTGCTTCAGTTGTTAAGTGAACACACATGGTTGTTTTTATATCTCAAACAAATTTAGATGGAAAATAATGTATGCTGGATATTGTGTGGTAACCACTAACCACTACTGCATCCCATACAAACTAAGAAAACCATCGTTATTTTACAAATACTACTAACTAACACATTTCAAGTCACTAAACATTTCAATGACAAAACCAGTTACAACTAATGCAGAACAGCCATTTACACGTTTAAGGAAATCTGAAATATAAATTCCAGCTACACAAGGCTATTGGGAAAACCCAACGAGCCTAAAAGGAAGACCTTAATTATACTCTTGCCAATTAATGACTGAAATGAAAGAAGCATGTGAAGTTGGGTTCTCACCCATTCCCAGAATGTGTCCGAATGGGATGGAAGTTGCTTGGTGCAGGGACTCCATTAACCATATTGCAGCCTGATATACCACTACCAATGGAGTCAAGATGTGGTTGACCACCTGCTGAAATAGAAGGCTGCTGTAGCACGGGGTATCCCATAGGTAGGTTGTTGACTGCACTGCAAACAAATGGTGTTGAAGAATTACAGGACAAGAGCAAAGGACGAGAAGAACTGAAAGAAATGAACTTATGCAGCAATAAAGAATATAAATGGTGAAGCTTGATCTAATGCCAAAAGCAAAAGTAAATTGGCATACAAAAACACACAGCTATCAATCAAGTTATGAACTGTTGTTTTAGCAATTCACTGTTCTTAAAGGGGAGGGAGGTTCCATTAGTGTTACACTTATATTAGACATTAAGCTCAATACATACATAAGGCCGCTCAATTGTGCAAAGACCCACCATTAATTCATCAAGTCCATATGGATTTAAAGAATTTTCAAGAACCCTGTGCATCTTCACACTGTTTTCTTTTCCCCTCATAATAGGGATGAGGAAGTGTGTATCAAGACCTTTTCCATGAAACACATGGTCAGATCACTGTTGTTGACAAGCAATTTAGCAGTGTACTAAGAATAATAGTCCGAATCATTATTGCATAACACAAAAAGGGAAATGTAACTGCCACCATGGAAAACTTAAGAGTTTACAATAAGTCATACAATATGAGGCAAGAACATACCAGGCATTGGATGGATTCCATTCTGTATAGGAGCCAATGGAACCTTTGTAGACAAGGGATATTTCATCATATGATACTGATGCTCAAGCAAATGATTAAACCAAAGTATTTGCTTTTTCAATTTTAGCCTGATATAATAGGCCCTGAAGAAGTCACTGTTCTCTTCTTCCAACTTCTGCCACACTAAATTGAAAAAATAAAAAAGAAAGCATCAAATAGAAGGCAATAGGATCTGAAGGCATCTACTTTCAAAGGGAAATAGATAAAAATACAGCTAAGGCCATTATTTTCAATGGCAACATGTCTCTATCTCAAATATCAAATATGTTTATTTCCACATCATTAACTCATGTAAAAGATAACCACTTTATTTGAATAAAAATTTGAACAATTGAACCAATATATTATTTTTATTACTTTTAGAATGAAACATATAAATGACAAGACAGAGACTTCAAGATGGTTACCCAGAGTTGTAAATCCTGGATCAATCTTTGCCCGAGTCAAGAGCGTCTTGACCACTTCATCTTTATTCATATATAATTGTAGGCACCTTTCTATTAAATTTTGTACCTACAAAAATTGTTTGAATATTATTCAAAAAGGGGGGAAAATATATTAGTCCAAATTGGCTTCTGTAAATTATGCTGTAAAGACGTAAAGCAAGTGAAAAGGTCAAGAATTGAGTCATTGTCTTACAAGCTCAATATCCTGCCGTGAAACTTTTTTGCTATCATTGCTTGAAGCAGATGCTGAAGCCGAATCTGTAACAGGAGCATCCGTGGTGTGGTTGTTTGGTTGTTCACTCAGGGAATCATGAGAAGCTTGAGCTGGGGACTGTAATTCTTGTGTGCTCTGCCAATCCATAAAAGGTTAATTAATTAACCCCAATATTTTTCTTCATATTTGACATTACGAGCATAATTAATCCATGGATCATCTGCATTTGGTTGATTAAATTAAGCAGTTTCCTTGTGGAAAATCAGTCCTTTCACCAGCAAATATCACCGTGAGTGAACAAAACTTGCTGGTTATAGAAGCATTTTAAAGGGAACAACACCAAGCATTAGCATCCTCAATTTTGTCTTACCCATATGGTCAGATGCAGTATAGCCATAAAAAAAATGACATAGGGCAATAATTACGAACATTGCAAAGTAAGTTACAACATAAAAGGAATATGACAGGAGAGAACCTGCCCGTTCTTCATTTCTTCTGAAAGCAAGTTGACCTCATGTCTTTGAGAAATTTAGGAAATCGTCAACTGCCACACTCTGAATTCAACAAATTTCCCCCATATGTCTATAACACCCCCGAGGTTAAGTAGTTTTCATCTGAAACAAAAACAGTGAAGATATTGTGAAGTAAATCACTCAACTATATAAATCTTGAAGTAGACAAACTCATCGACAAATAATCTAATCTAAAACCCATCTTACAAGTACTCTAGGAATGAAGGTATTTTTAAATTTTTAGTAACTAAAATTAAAAGGGAGATAAAATGCTGTAATTGATTTCCATCGCTTAGAAAAGAAGTTTACTCACTGCAGCACATCAACAAACAAAGTTGCTGAATGAAAAACAGAGAGAGGGGAGAGTGAGCAACAGGGTGTTGTTTGGTATTTTCAGAGAAGGAAGCATTGAGATTTTAGAGATAATTATTGGTGAAGTCAAGTTTTATGGAGGCACGGGGTTCTTTCTGCCAACCAAAGATTAGTGCAAGAAAGATATTTCATTTGTCGAATGACTTCAAATCAAAACGGACAAAAGAAAAATAGAGTTTACGAACAGTCACGGATCCAACACACTCCTTCGACTGCAAAACACTGCCTTAAAAATGTTTTTAAGGAAAAAAAATTATGTTGCTAATATGAATTTTACCTCACTCAAATAACAAAAAAAAAAATTATGGTAAAAAAATAAAAATTTTATTAATACGAGAATAAATAATTAATAATAATAAAATTTTATTAAAAAAATATTTATTATATTTTTATAACTGTAATATAATAACTGTATATTTTTTATAAAAAAAATTATTTATAAATATTTAAATTTATTCTTTAACAACTGAAATTAACAAAATTTAAAAAATAAATAAACAGGACGCACTTTTATTTTTCATTTTACCATATTTTTTAACAAACTCTTTAAAAGAGATAAATTATAATTCAGACTAAAAAAATAAAAGAAAAATTATAACTTATGGTAATATTGATGCATGCGTGACATTGATTGGCATAATTTTAGAGGATCTATAGAAATAGACTAAACTGAGGTAATGGTAATGCAATCACAAGTTGTTGATCGTTTCCCTTGCACAGTATGCCACCGTCATCCATTCATTATTACATTATGCATTTATTCTACTTTTTGGCAAATAGTTGTGCCACTGTCCTGTGGTCCAGACCTTTTCCTGCACCCGCACCTGCATTTTTCCTACATCAACGCCTCCTTCCTCAACCATATTGCACTATCAAATTAACCAAAACATAACACATTTTATTAACCTATAAATGCTTTTTATAATTATAAAAAACAATAATAACAATTTTTAATGCTGTTTTCTTTTTCTAAATTATGTGTCCTTCGTTAATTTAAAAGCAATTCTACTTAAATAAGTAGATATTATATATACTTAGAATTAGTTCTAAAAGTAAATATTAACAATATATTTAAAACAAAAGGCTGGATCATTGCTCCAGACCCATGAGTTGTTCACGAGCCGCGTGCATGCTGACGCGTGAAATAATTTACTTTAATTGTTACCAGCTTTTTCAATAAACTACTTAAATCAAATTAAGACTTTTTTACGTAAATAAAATAAAAAAATATTATTTCTTAAATATTCTAAAAAAAATTACGATATAACCTAAGTGAATTTAAATCGACTTTCATTTTAACAATTTTTACACATAAATCAATTTAAATTGACTTCTATTATAAATATAATTTTTTAAAATAAAAATCGATTTAAATCAACTTTCATTTTGCTTTTGAATTTTTTTTACATAAAAGTCGATTTAAAATCGACTTTTATTATTGGTTTAATTATTTTTACATAGAAGTCGATTTACTTTTAAAATATTTTTATACATAAGTTGATTTAAATTGACTTCTATTTTATTTTTAAATTTTTTATATAAAAATTAATTTAATTCAACTTTCATTTTAGTTTCAAATTTTATTTACACATGAATTAATTTAAATTAACTTTCACTTACACAGAATATGTTTTAGAAAGAAGTCGATTATAATTAACTTTGTAATACATAATTAAAGTTGATTATAAAGAAGTCTATTATAAATAAAAAAAAATTATCATTTAAAGATGAGAAAATTTTAAAATTAAGTGTAAAAATTAGAGTGAGTTGATAACATTCATTAGCAATCACTTTGTACCTTTGTTCTTAAACCTTACAACAAATTTTAATATAATGACACAATGTGCTGCACACAATATACATGATATGTTGAAGGGATGTCACTCATTCCTTGTAACTTCTAGAGATAATTTGATTGCATGATAACTTTTAGAAATAATTCTGACAGATGAGCTGCTCCCTCTCCGGTTAACTACTACTACCCGGTCTTTTTTTAATTAATAGCTTTCGCTGAAGTACTTGCCATCATGATGAATCCCTTGAGCTTTTACTATTTTTTTCCTTATTCTTGCTAGCCGTCGACTGTATGGTTTCCTGTCTTGCTCTTGTTGAGCTTCAGCCCGATCCTTATCATGCAATTAAATTAGCTCTAAAAGTTACAAGGAATAAGTGACATCCTTTCAGCATATCATGCATATTGTATGCAGCACATTATGTCATTATATCAAAATTTGTTGTAAGGTTTAAGAACAGAGGTGCAAAGCAATTGCTAATGAATGTTATCATCTCACTCTAATTTTTACACTTAATTTCAAAATTTTCTTATCATCAAATGACAATTTTTTATTTATTTACAATAGACTTATTTCTAATCAACTTTAATTATGCATTACAAAGTTAATTATAATTAATTTTTTCTAAAAGATATTCATGTGTGAGTAAAAGTTAATTTAAATTGAATCATGTGTAAATAAAATTTGAAACCATAATAAAAGTTGAATTAAATTAAATTTTATATAAAAAATTTAAAAATAAAATAGAAATCAATTTAAATCAACTTCTGTGTAAAAAAATTTTATAAGCAGAATAAAAGTCGATTTAAATTGACTTTTATATAAAAATAAGTAAATCTATAATAGAAGTCGATTTAAATCGACTTTTGTATAAAAAATTTCAAAAGTAAAATGGAAGACATTTATGTAATTTTTTCTTTTCAGGATATTTAGGAAATAATAATTTTTATTTTATTTTATTTGTGTAAAAAAGCCTCAAATTAACAAGCACGGCCACCAGATAAATTAATTAAAGGTATTTGATATAGTTTTAATAAATTTTTAAAAATATTTCATATTTTTTAAATCATGATTATTTGAATATTTTAAAAATTAAAAAATTATATATTTTTAAAATAAACTATTAACGATTACTGTCTATTATATATATATATATATATATATATATATAATAATATAATATTAACGATTATGATTATTTTATAAAAAATTATCATAACATAATTTTCTAATTTAAAATATAAGATTTGTCTTAATTAAATAGTTAAAGTGAGACCCGCGGTTGCTCATTTATATGAAAATTTTGAGCAACATTTATATGGTGATTTTATAACGTTTGTATAAATTACTGAAATCTACAATCAGTAAATATTTATTTTTAAATCTGAATATAATTCTCCAAGTAAAAAAAAAAGGGAACATAACTCCCTTAAAAATAAAATCTTAATACAATTTTGCTAACATCATTCTGATGATAAATATATAAAAATGTTTTTTATTATTGAGAGACTGACATATAATTTCTTTTTACGTATATATCTTTAACATTAGTCCTAACTATTCGTAAAAGAGCTCTAATTACTAAATTTATTACTGCCTTTGCATCTTTGTTTAATGATTTAACAGTGAGAATCATAACGATAGTTATTACACATTCCTTAACTCAATTTTAAAAACGGTTAATCGCGCGAAGTACCCATTGTTTATAGTAGCAGTTGTACTTTAATTGTGAACTATTTTTTTTTTTAAATTAATGATATGAAATCCACATCCCACGAATAAAAATGGCAAAAGAAACTCAAATACTTTAAACGATTATCAATGCAAAAAAACACTACTTAAAGCCTTCTTGTAGGAAAAAAGAAAAATCAATATTTTATTCAACGCAAGTTTACAGAGAGGAACTTATAATTAGTGCTTAAATACTTAACAAGATGTTGTCAAAATAGAAGTGGGATGCGTCTTTTTGTGAATTTATTTATATTTTTATTTAGTATTTTAAAATACAATTGCTTAATATGTTTGTTAATTGTGAATTATATTTAACGAGATGAGTTGATGAAGCCACTATAATTTCAGTACATGAAAGTTCATCCGTGATAGTCAAATGGAATAAGGCATAAGATTTGTTATTTCGCGATTGTTCCAATTATTTTTTAAATGTGTCATTTATTTTTTAAGAAATTATTCTAATTAAAAATAAAATAATATTTACTATATACAAATAGAAATTCACTCAGTATATTTTTTAAAAGTGATTAAAAATACTTGATAAAGTCCCATTAAGATATATTTAGAAGATACAATTTAATTAAATGCTTATTCATTAAATTCTTATTACATAGAGACTTATATCCTAATTTCAAATATAAAATCTCTTGAAAATAAGTTTTTTTTTAATAAATTGATCAAAATAAACAGAAAATTAGTTTATCAAAGTTTTAAATTATTTTTATAAATTTGTCATATATTTTTCAAACGCCTATTTAATAATTTTCAACAAACATCATAGGACATATCTATTAAGATGATGTTACAATTCTTTAAAATGTTTTGTTAACATATAAAAGATTTTTATATTTTAAACTTTGACTGTAACAATGATGTAAAAAAATATTAAACACCTGAAATTAATTATAAAGATTAAAATAAAAAATTATTATATTAAACTAAATTAGTTTTTTTTTTTGTTCTTGTTATTCAATAAAAGTTTTGTATTTTTAAATTTCTTCAATTAATATTAAACACAATAAGATACTTATTTTTAATTTTGATTAAAATATATTTTATCTTTTAAATTAATTTTGAAGACTTTTATGAAATAAACTTAAATTATTATCTTTTTAGCTTTTGATAATCAATAATTTTTATGTATTATATTAAAAAAATTAATTTGTAGGAATTTTGATAGTTGACGTAAACGTCTCAGTAAGTCTCACGACGTCCATAAAACTGAAATTCGTCAGAAATATCTACAGGTGGCAAGAAATGAACTGTGGACCGTGGCGAACACATGACCGTTAAAGGCGTGGCGTTGGAATCTGCCGTCAAATAAGAGCGTATAGTTTATACGACCGTCTAAAATGAAGCAGATTCAAAATTCCCGCTAAGGTTGTCTTATGATTTTCTTTCTCGTCCTTTGCATCTTTACATCTTCGAATAAAAGCTATGCCCTATGTCAAACGTACGTTAAAGCATATTTCATTATCTTTTGAAGAAAATATGTATTCAAAAATAGTAATTTTGTACGGATCCAGATTGTCCATAGTTTTAGCGAAAATTACAATGCGTTTTTACTTAAACAAATCTAACAAAAAGTAATTTTAACTTAAATAAAAAAAATTTACTTAAACAAATTTAGTAAAAATATAATTTTTACTTAAGCTAAAAATACAAAAAATTTTAAAATTTCATCTTCTTCCTTTCTAAACTGCAAAAAATTCAAGAAACTTTTATTTTTTACTAATGACTGCTTAGTTACTAAAGACTCTTATATATTTTATCTCATCAAATATTTTAAATATATTGTTTATTATGCTACAGTACGTTTTCGTTTAAGCAAATTTTATTTTACTTAAGCGAATTTAATAAAAAGTAATTTTGTCTTAAACCAAAAGATTTGTTTAAGCCAAAACTGCAGAGGATCCAGATCTAACTTTATATCATGTAAAGAATTGTATGATATGCTTTCTGTAGTAGATGATACTTAATTATTAATTGAGTATCTATTTTTAATTAATTACTTTTAATTTTAAAATTTGATACAGTATTTATAAGTTTAAAAGAATATTTTATACATTTTTTAAATTAATAGTTATAATTTTTTAAATTAAAAGATTTTTATATCTTTTTAAATATATTTTTTTTATAATCTATTATATATATTTAATATAAAATAAACAGTGATGATTATTTTATATGTAAGATGATGTTCTCTTAATTTATAACATACCGTATACATTATCTTTTATTTTAATTTTATGCTTTTCAATTATTTTTTACCAAATTATGATTACATTCTAGGATAATAGTTAATAGCGCACATAGAAGGAGTAAAAATTTTGTGCATGAAAAATTATACTGAACTACATGCACTGAAAACAATAATCAAGTTTATATAGATAAATGAATACAAGCCAAAATAAAATAAAAATTAAGATAAATGAAAATGTTCATGAAACCGAAATGACAAGTGACCAACTAGAAATAAGTAAACAATAAGACAGTTAATAATTAATTATCATCCTCATATAGAGTGCAGTCAGGTGAGCATTTATAAGAAAATTCTATATGTAATAAGATGCGGTGAGCGTCAAAATGATAATGAAGATATACATTCATAATTTTAAACCATAGCTTGATATTATCTTTATAAGATACATTAAACGTGTGAGAACCAACTACTTAAATCACAATGTTATCTTTAATATTTTCTTTACTATACATTTTTTATCAGCAATTAGAAAAAAAAAGGAAGATAACCTGTGATGTGTACAAAACATGATCTAATAATAATAAAAATTGTGCTAAGAAGAGTATTTAAAATACTGTGTTGAAAAATGAAAACAGTTCTTTTCTTCTGATATCTAAAGTTTTCATGTGACTTATAATATTACGTCTTTTACTAAATAGTTAATCAACTAAACATCCTTTTTCAACTTTATTTTAGCGTTCCCTCTGATTACTTCAAATTTTATGAAGTTTTACGAACTATCCACAAACTTCTTTTTCCGACTTTGATGACATGTTAATTTTATAATTTGTACACAAAATAGCTGCAACGTGCAATACAAAAGCAGGCATTTGCTAGTAAGGGCCAAAGTGAGAAAGATGAATAAGCTAAAGTCTTATTCACAAGAATTCGCTGCGGTTACATGATAGCAAACAGTGTTGTTGTGCGGGGTTACAGTGCCACTAGCAACAGAGAGGACATATACATAGTATATAAAGGGACAAACAATTTCACAGACGCCACAAAAAAATCTTTGGTGCACATGGCTGAGACAACTTAGAAACCAATAGATGCAATTCTCGGATAGACCCTGAAGGCTGAATGGATGCACGTCAATGATAATTTGGTGGTACCAATAGAAGAACTTTGTCTAAACTTATTAGGCAAATTATGGGGAGGACCACATCATATCAACTTCCATCGCCTTTCTTCACCGTGTCTTCACGGTGTGTAGGTTAAACCTCTTAAACCCGTAAATACCACACATGGGAGAGATGGACTTAGATTCAACTACATTATGTATAATTTCCCACCACGTTATGAGTTTCTCATTGAATGGTTTTAGAATAAATTAACATCACCATAATCAATTGGATGACTAATATGGAAAAATGTTAATGAAGAAATAGCATGCATGATATTGATTAAGATAAACCATAAGAGCTACAACACAAGGTGACACCAGAAATGGGGGATGGATCCTACATGCAGGTGAGAATAACCAATCAAAACCATAATAAGGAATGAACCTGGTAAATTATTACCAGAAATTATTTCATCATCCTAGATCGTCACTTAAATATTATGCCTATTCATATTTTGACATTTCTATCATATTTCTGTGAACTGTTTTCTTTCCATCTTCCCACTTGAGTCACAGGCTTCCTTAGAAGGATAGAGGGGAAGGCAGATACAAATGATATCTAATAATATTTTCAAATTATGTTAGTTACACAGTTAGCATTTTTCAAAAGATCAACAAATATCTGCTGCATCTTGTAAACAGAAGCCCTACTCTACTACATTGTGTAAGAGAGAAGTTGACAAAACTGTAACACGGTGAAATTTCTGAATTCTGAACCTAAATCAGTTTTATGATTTGATTGGTTTACAAACGAGTCAAAACCTTTAATGAAAAACTAATCACCGAGTACTGCATCTCCTTTGCCGCTACTGTTCCCCATCCTTGAACACAGTATTGGATGGAAAAATGTAAAAAGCGGGTTAGTCACCAGTTTAAATGTACAAGAGGGAGGGCACAAACCAGGGACCTCCCTGAGAAGATGAACCGGTGATATAGCTAAAGTTCTTTCCTTTCAAGCGTGGCGTGAGAACAAGAATGTCTTGAAATAGGCAGGTTTTGCACTACAGTTTTCCCCACTTAATTTCCCTGCCAGGTCTTCTTAATAAGCAAGGGAGAAAATCCTCCTCTTCCAGTAAATAATTCCACCCAACTACTGATATGGCAATATCAAAGGCCCCTGATAAAAAAAATCATAGAATTAAGATATCATAAAGCAGTCCATTGAAGTATGCCAATAACTGTAGTAATACATTTCTGTTGTAACTAATCTCCAAGTAGGCCTGTATGGGTTAGTTAGTTACCACACTTCACCAATATAAATATTAGTGTTATTGTATTTTGTAAAATCATCTTTTCTGCATTAATTCATTTTGGTTTCTTCTGATTTCTCTCAAATTCTTTCATGTTTAAAAATTCTAACAATAACAACCATCATAAATTGCAAAAGAATTAAAATAAACAAGACACTTCATAAGCCGGAGAATTTAAACTAAGCAGCGAAAACATCTTTCAGGTAAAACAACAGGATAGAGATTAGGTACTAGGAGTCTGGGACACTAACCATCTTAAAAATAATCTAACTAAATCAATGTTGCAAGCTGCTACACATCTAATTGTGCTAAACAGATGTGATAGCTTGGAGACAGAAAAAGTCGACTACCTTGGGACCTTGGGTGAAGAGGGTTGATCTGGTGAGGATTGTTGAGCAGTGCCACCGTTAAACCTTTGCTCCTCAAATGCTCCACTAGATTGGGTTCCCTCGTTCAGCTGTGATAGTTCATTGACACCTGAGAAACCCATAGGCCCCAGAGAACCAAACTCAAGCAGCTCAGCTGGTGAGCTGTAGCCAGCATTATGATCATAAGGATACAGCATTACAACAGGTGGAATTGCAGGTCCATTTGATGAGATTCCACTAGAGCTCATTCCTGGAAGAGGGTACATTCCGTAAGCCATGTTTGCAGGACTGCTCTGTGAGGAATTTAAGCGTATGGGACCATTTTGATTCTGGTGAGAAACAAAGGAGTGATGTCTATGTGAACCCCACGGTCTTTCAGCACGGCTTTCACTAGTTGCCAACTTCTCTTGCTTTGAGCTAGACTTCTCAGTTTGGCCACGGTTATGACCACGCCCACTTGTTCGCAACTTTGAGTTAGTATTCCAATTCCCTTCTTTGTCACCATGGTGATCACTTTTATCATAATTGTAATTACCCCCCCTTCTGGTACTAGTAGAATGTCGATCCCGAACAGAAACCTTCTGAAATAAATTTGGAAATAAGGCAAATACAAAAAATCCAAACAGTACCAAAAGCAGACTTATACTTGCATTTGTTTTGCATTGAGAAAAAACAAATTACAGCATAAAGTACCAAGTTTCTTAGAAATTTATCTTACAGGATTTGGCAGGTAGGTTCCAGTCCCACTTCGATACCGTGGCATCTCATCCACAAAAGGTTGATAAAGATTGGCTGGTCTGTTAGAAACTGAATGGAGAGGGGAAACTGGTACTAGGTGTGGCCCATAGCTCATAAGCTGAGTGAAAAGATTCACATTAGCTGACTGTGGTCTTCCAGGACCATCCCAAGGAAAATGGCCCTGCAAATAAACTGGAGGTACCATAACAGGTGAAGGATGCATAACTGAATGAGGTTGGCGTGAATTTTGACAAAATCTCCCGTACTGTAAATTTTGCCAGTGACTAACAAAGTCACTATTAAGAATATCAGGTTTGGGTTCTGATGAGTTACTAGCAGCTTTTCTCACAGAACTAGAAGAGCTTAACACCTCAGGCTGGTCATATACCTCAGATGGATCAAAATTTTTACCAGAGTCACTGTTATCTGCACTTTCTTCTACATTGAAATTGCTTGCTGATATGTCAGAAGATTCTTTAGGAAAATTATATAATGGAAGCATTGTAACAAATGGAACTGGTGGCCCTGTGGGATAGAATGCAAATGGAACAACCCCAGAATTATCAATTGTTCTTTGGCGAGAGCCATGACCTATAAGCATTGGGGCCACAGGTAACAAAGAATCTGATCCACTTGTCTGAGCCACTTCAAAACCAGATACTTGCTGTCTTGGAACATGCATGGGAGTAACAGCCAGTGGCCCGGTGCTTCTTTCTGACATATCAGATGCTGTAGATGACAACGATGTCCATTGTCTGTTTTCATCATCGCCTAGATTAGAAGAGATATCTGAGACATTTTTGCCCTTTCCGTAAGCAGCAGATGGCACTGAGGAAGTATTTTTCTTCCCCCTTTTTTCCCTTGTGGATTTTGAGGATTTTGCTGATGACCCTTCCCAAGAGCTTTCGGAAGATGTCTTACTCCTGAAGGAGCTTGAAGGTGTTACACTGGGAAACCTAGGATTTACTATTCTATCATCAAAATAAACATCATTTCCTCTGCCATCTTGATATTGTGAATTATCAACATGCTCTTCTCTTGTAGAAACTTGGTTTTCTTTTGTAAACATCTGTTGCAGTCTAGCAGGATTATTAGAGCTGCCAACATGAGGTGATGGGATAAAATTATAACCACCTGAAGTTGACTGCTGCTTATCATCTGGAAGCATTTCAAAATTTCCATTATCAACTCCAACCCCCCTAGCAGAAGTCCTTTCTTGCTCGTGCCAGAAATCATTATCAGCTTCTGCTAAGCTTGTTTCAACAGAATTGAAATTTTCATTACCAGTTTCAATTAAATCTTCCGGATTTGATGTCAATCCCAAGCCAGGGAAGTATGGAGTCAATGGTGAATGAACTAAACCTTGGGGAAATTGCATATTAGTACCCCAAGGAGCCTCAATCAAGGAGATGTTACCCATGTTTCTCTGAGCATATCCCATTGATGTGAGAATGGAAGGAGAAAAGGGAAGTGGTAGGTGACCCGTAGCTAAATTCAATGGATGAGCATGACCACTGAAACCTTGAGCTGCGGGAGATGTCATCATGTTTAAAAGGTCCTGCTCTTCCTGATGCATCATATGCGTTCCACTGACTCCAGCAACAGATGCAAACTCTTCACCCATGACACGAGAGCCTGATTCATCATCATAACTATTTGAACCATTGTTTGAATCAGCAGCACTATCAAGAACTTGACGAGATAAGATTTGACTAGAAGATGAATTGTCAATTCTAACGCCATAACTAGCAGGCATGTCAGAATCAAGATGCTTCCTATGACTATTCTCCAACTTTGCAGAGGAATTTGCGCCTTTCCCACTTTCTGGGCCTCTTGGATGCCTTCCTTGGGAAGGAACTTCACCATATGAGTCCGTCAACTCAGGACTAGAACATGTTCTCGCAAATAATAACCTTCCCGGAACATCACTGAACGGATTATTCGGTTTTACATTTCTCTGACCCTTATCAACACGAGCACCTTGATTACAATTAGCTTCCCTTTTGACCTGATCGGGATTCTTTGCAATATCTTGGTTGCCATAAGAAAGTGATACTGTAGAAACATCACTATTCTTAGATGAGTTTTCGGAGGACAAAATACTATGGTGAGATAGATCACTTCGAGAAGTATGTACCCCTTTCACTTCATTACAATGAGTTTTTTGGCTATTATTCTGGAGATTCTCAGACCCCTGTAATTGGTTATGATTAGATAACCTCAAACACCATAAGTCATTGCTTGGAGCATCAGGTCGCTGCCCACTTCCATGTCTTTTCCAAGTGTTCCTAAAGAACTGATTGACTTCCAAAAACAATTCCTCCTTTGGGCAATCAAGTAATCTAGCCAGCCTTTTGGCCCCAAATGCAAAGGCACTGCGTATCCTAAAGAAATTTCCTGGTTCAAGCATATCACAATGCAATTATTATTAGCCACAACCAAATTAGACACATGGTTTAGCTTAACCAATAGCCTACTAATATGAATACAAGAATGATTCCAGCTATATATATCTAAATAATCCACAGCATGCATAAATTTTCCATAGTTTTTAACATTCATTCTAACGATATAAATAAATATATTGAAGGTTCAAATTTAGAAAAAAAATCTCAAATGGGTACCTAAATAAATGAGAAACATCCATGTTAGTTCAAAAATGGTAACAATAGCTCCAAAGCATTGTTATCAGTATCGCAAGAGCCATGATATAAATAATCTGATTTGATATTCTTCATTGCAGCAATATGAATTGGTTTTGGTGCTGAATCACAATGGGAATCATTCAGATCACATGAATTGATTGAATTCCAAGAAATTTACTGAATTGCACAATTTTGGTTGAATAGGATCACCCGAGATTGGGTCATCTTATGCACAACCTGGTCCCAATAAGAAAACTTTCTTAAAAGAATTGCGTGAACAGCTGATCATCCCCCACCAATGACACCCAAACACAAATACTTTAGAAAAAGAAACCTTATTCTCATTTTCTCCACTCTCTGCCTCTCCCCCACACTTCAAATGCTTCATATATTCTGTGTTCCCAACCACTTTATTGCTTCTTGCATTCATTATTCAAGATCCTGCTGGTGTGGTGGTGTCCTACCTCTTATTATGAACTATTATTGCAGCTTTACTGCTGCACATGTGCTGAAAGGGCATACACAGCAGAGAGCACACGTAACAGTGTGCATCTCTTATTATGATTTTGAAGTTTATTTTTACTGTTGTGTCTCTTTATGGTTTATTTTGAAGTTTATATTTCACTTTATTTGCTATATAATGAGTCATTTGACTTTAAAATGCCAATAAAGATAATCTTTTGATTTGTGATTAGAATTACAAATTTGACAACTGCACTCGGATGTATCTTTAATTATTTCTTCCAACCTTATGAAGTTTATCAAATACATATGCCAAACTTTTCACATGAAAAAACCAGAAACAGAATTAGGTCTGCTCAAAAACCAACTAATTCTAAAATATAAACTGAGAAAAGAGTTACCCATGCAAAAAAATGAACTATGTCCAAAATTTGAGTCTAACGAACCTTTGCTCACACTACGCCCAAGGTTATTGTTGACCCGCAGAGGATCAATAACATTGAAATGCTTGGAAACAAATGGTTGCCCCTGATTTTCTGGGCCACCAGGGAAAACAGCATAAACAGAGCTGCAGGCATCAAGAAATAACTTGCTGAGCAGTAAATCTCCACCATCTTTCCGAGGACATTCAGCTGTGGAAAATGTTGATGGAGAGAAGGAGGAAAGCAATAAGCAAAATGGAGCTATAGCATTACTAAAAACACAGATGTTCAATCAGATTGTAACTACCTGTTACGTCTGGGAGAGAACTAATGGGTACTGGACCCCATAGGCTTACACAAAAATTATCCCAATCAAACTTACTAAAAAACTCCAGAAATCTATACAATACCTACGAAAGCAAAGAAGACACTAAGTCATTTTGATCACCAGAAAACACATACAAAATAACACCATTTAAAGATTGCTACCTCAAGTGGTCCAGCAAAGGAATTGTTGAAAACATGAAATATGTAAAGAACCAAGGTTTCTAATGCATAAGTTGAGATAAGTCCATGGTGGGCACCAAGTATACGACTCTCATAATAACACCAAGCTTTTATAAGTATAATGCTACGCTTGAATAAGTGGTTTTGATTAATCAAATTATCAACCTACAGCAGAAAAAAAGAATTCTTGTAAATGGAAGAAAGTTTAGTATCAAGGTCAAAATCCCAAAGAGGAAGTTACAATGAGGCTTGGCTTCTAGGACAGTACAATCCATCATATTACCTCCTCAAGAAAACAAAGGGTACACAATCCTCCAAGCTGATTAAATGAAATGTCTACCACAATATTCTCAACAAGACACTTTATAATCTTCACCTGCAAAAATGAAGAAAAACAATGCAGAATATGAATTCTATATCCAGAAGATGGACAAGACCAACATAAAAACAAAATGTCTAATACTAGCTTAAATTAAGCCAGGAAGATGACAAGAATTATAAAACAAATAGCTTATACCTTAACATTTTGAGTTTTAATAATTAACAATATATGATGATGTCATTTTGACCAAAACTTGGAAAGTTAAAACTAATTTACTAATTATTAATAAAAAAAAATGGGGTTTTCAGGCAAACAGTAGTTTATCTATTGAATTTATACAACTTGATAATGGTTAACATTCGCTCCCCTATGTCACACAACAAATGGTTAACATTCACTCCCCTCTGTCTAATAACAAACCAGCATTTTTCATCAGAGTAACAACATATAATACAAAATTGAATTTCACGATTATTATTGTACCACTTAATATGCACGACCAATGTTAATGACCTCATTTCCATAATCAGGTTCAATGACCTTAAGCTTCCGCAACAATCTATCTACAGAATTGCTTAAAGCGCCATCACTTTTGTAGTAACATCCCAAATCTTCTATTTCACCTATGATTAATTAAGACAGCAAGCACAAAGATAAACACTTCTAAAGATGCTGCATTGTAAGAGAACCTACTTCAGCCTGGATGTACTGAACCTCTTTGACATGAAACTCTGCATTTTCATCCTTTTCCTCAATCTGGAGCATGTCGCGAACCTGATGTGCCCACGCATCCTTCAGATTTTGATTCTTACTGAATGCAGTCAGGTCAATATCTCCATCAGGCAAATAAGTTTTGAGGGGTACTGACCCAAAGGTGAACACCTGTAATCATGAAAATTATGCTTGATCCTAGCAATCTTCAACATTTCAAAAAAATCATATAATGATGCATAAAAAATAGTGCCCGATTTAATAATCAAAAGTTCTTGACCAAAGAATCGTCTACAATCTCAGAATAGTTACAGAACATATTCATTTCTGCACATAAGACCGACCTGGCAAGGGAAGCACTTCATGATCAGCCGCTGCACGTAGTCTGCAACGGCATGGCGGCGCTCCTCAGAGGGTGAATTAGGCTGAATGCAGGCAATTAACTCTGCAGTCCTTTCTTCAGCCTTTAACCATCGCTCCATATCAAGCACTCGCATCACCGATGCGGCTTCATCGGGCAACAAGCCATTTGGCAATATCCCACTCTGTGGCTGTGCCCACCCCTCATGCTCTCCCATGCAAGCCTAAGCTTTTCCTTTTGAACTCCTAGAAAACCTAACAACCCAAGTCAACACACTATCCCCACAACTAATGGAGCCGATAAATGCAACACATGAAAGCCTTCTGATCCTGTCAGAGGCAAATTTTGCAAGTGCTGAACAAACAACACAAATATAGGATTTTTAATTCCTCTAAAGCTAAAAATAAATGGCAAGAGCAGTGAAGTACCATTTAACCAATTCTGGGTATTTTCCTAAAATAACACAAACACACAGAACCTTAAACAATTTCACAGTGCACAGCTAATATCAACTGAATCCAAACAAGTGCAATAGCCGTATATCAATAAATACGAGAACAGAGTTAATGAATCAAAAATGAAGGAACCCGATTAATAATAAGGAACTGAAAATGTTAAGGGTTTTATTTTTTAACAATAGTATACTAGTAGTGATGATTAAAACCCTAATGGAAAGTGGTGAATCACATTCCCAGAAGAGTTGGAGCGCGGGCGTACCAACGGCGATGGGAGGAGCGTAGAGGGCAAAAATGGAAATGCGGGAAACAGATGCTGGGTATCAAACCCAATGACAAAGGACAGTTGGGCGCCGATCAAAAACAGAGCTTGGGAGAGAGAAAAGAGAAGGGTGGTTAGGGATTGATGGGGGGAGTAAAATGCAGATTAATGAGCGTTGAAGTTTAGCGTGTTTTGCTGCTTTAAGGTTTTTGAAATGGCAGGGAGAGGATGATAAAATCTCCGAGATGGAGAGAAGAAGGAGAAGAATATGATGAAGAAGAAGAAACAGGCAGAGAGAGAGAGAGAGAGAGAGAGAGAGAGAGAGAGAGATACAAGGAACAGGAAGAGGAAAATTGAAAAATATTAAAAAAAGAAATAAAATAATAATAATATTTCATTTTAAATGGGCCTATTTTAGTAATAGGTCCGTAGAGTGCTTTTCTTGTTGAAAGAGATGGGCGAACATTTGAAACTCGAAAGTCCAGCCCACTAGAGGTGCCAATCCATGGTGAGCTCTAACTTGGCAAATTACGAGTATATTTGGTAATATAAGTTATTTAGAAGTTTATAATTTATTTTGGGATAAAATTAAAATTAGAAATTTATTTAAAATTTTTACATCTAAAATATATAAATACATTAAATACATACTTCTTATAAGCCTTAAATTTTAAGTTTTTAGCTAGTTTTATGCACAAAACTTGTATGACAATACATTTTTTGTTGTTGTTTATTCCTCTGTATCCTTCCTACCACAACATAAGAACCCTAATTATTTGTGTGTGGGTGTGTGTTTTGGCATCCTTTTGATGTTCAGGTCCTCAATTTACTTACTTTATGAGTTCAGAGATGTTCTACCACAAAGAATATTAATTATTTTCTCTCTATTTAATTAGGTCTAACTTTATGTTTTTTCCCTTTTTATTCATTATTTTACAGCATCACGCAATGAATCAACAATCTAATGCATGGCTGGTGTTTTTAAAGTTGCTCATGACATACGCTGAGGACAAAAGTAATTGTTGTTGTTATTATTATAAATTATCTGATATATTCCTCCATTCAAATATTTTATGATTCTCAAAAGCAGTAACAGGAAATTACTAGATTGATTCATGGAATCAACGTTACAGGAAAGTCTATACAGACAGGCATTCACAATTTAAATAGATTTTTCCGTTTTCATAAAAAAATGATTATCTTTTTCTTTTAAGGAGGGTAATTTGCCTTCATGCTTTGTTATGATGAAATGGTAACTATGTAAAAAAGAAAACAATGCAAAAGAAATAAATGTCAAATAAGATGAAAAAGATTTATTGTTTTAATAAATAGAATTAGGAAGAAAAATGTGAAAGATTTTACTTTGTTTATTTGGATGGATAAAAAAATGAAAAAAAATAGATTATTTGTATTTTTTATAATAATAATATTTTCTAAAAATGCTTATATTTTTTTTAATATATCATTTTAAAAATGTTTTCAGTAATTTTTATAATGTTTTCATTTTAGAAATATTTTTTGAAATGTTATCTCTTTAATTTTGTTCTATTTAATATAATTTATAATAATCAAATATTTTTATTTATAAATTTAAATATCATTATATAATATATCTTTAATTTTCATTCAAAAAACATTTCAATTTACTAATATTTATGCAGCGTACAAAAAGTACTAGTTAATATAAACAAAAGAGAAATATGAATTAAAAAATAAATAATATAACGAAAGGAGATAAAAGAAAAATTAGTGCATCAAATATTATATAAATACGTTCTCTTTGTAGAAAGTTTGCATTCACTGTACAGAGCACGTTATGTACAACGGTTTTCATGTCATCGAATGTTCTAATGCTTGTCGGTGCCACGCATAAAAATTAGTAGAGAAATTTTATTCTATTTTCAATTGGATTTATTGACATTTTATGCACAATGTTTGTCAAATTATGAAGTGAAGGAACCATACTGCGCTAGTTAGATATTTAGAAATGTACATAAAATATAATGATGTAGTGTGCTAGACCCCTGTGATTATCTCCTTAGTGATCAAGGTGCATCTCTCCAAGTTCTGTTCATGGGTCCACGAGTGTGGAGATGGTGAAGTCAATAGTGGCCACAATTGATTAATCCTTTGCTTCCTCACTCTGCGAACAAGAATCTTTGAATGTTGCCTCAAGACTCCATTGATAGCTTTAAGGTAGTTGCTGGAATCATGATCTCTTAGGATTGTGCCCTCTGAACCATATGCTGTTGGATCACTTAGTGTTTCAATAGGGTGAGGTTGATTCAAGAAGGTTTTAAGAACACTTGGAGAGTATCCACATTTTGTATTGTTCAAGGCATAGAAGGCACTTCCTGCGGGGAGTAAAGGGTGTGGAGGAGATGTCTTCTCATCCGGTTGGAGAATGAATATTTTACCCAGTGGTGAGTACAACAGCTTCTGAAAAATCCAAAGAAAAAGAATGGTCATGAAATTTGACATTTGCTATGAGTTTATGATTTTTATTCCACAAGCCTAAGTTTCAATTAAGTACTATCCAAAGGCCATGCAAAAGCAAAATAAATATGAACAAATTTTTTCATGTGTGCAATATTACTTAAATGATGTGTATAGATTTAAAATTTGTACGAATATTATACAAGAACAAGTAGAGAACAATGATGCTTACATTTTTTATGAGGCAAGGATGTGAGCGAAAGGAGCTATTTAAGCGCTTAAGAACTAGAGCTACATGATTGGGGTAATTGCAGGAGAAGGCCCTGGGAACAATATCTCTATGCATCATAACACAGTGGATGTGGCTCTCATCCAGGCCAAGCTCATCGATTATTTTTTGGCCTCCACAGAACACAAATGGTGAGCCAAAACTCACTACTGGTCTAAGAGTGGAGGGGCTAACAACCTTGTTAGTCAACAACATTAAATGAACCAAAAGAGAGAGACTGCCCCCAAGGGAGTGCCCAGTGAATTGAAGCTTTGCTTTATCCCCATGTCTTTTCAAATGATCCATTATTTCTGGCATGAATTGCTTATATACTCCTTTTGCAGCTTCATAAATTCCTCTGTGAACTAATACATCTGTGTCCTGGAATAGATAGGTTATAAGTTCTTTGGAGTTTTTTTCACAAAATCAACATTTAGCAGCAGTAACTACACAAGGAATGAATGTTTCTCCAAAAATTGAGGATTATTCTTACCTCAAATTTGGTGGGCTCAAAGAAGAGGTTTGCTTGCCAAGATGCCAGGGAGTCTGATCCCTGCAACATGGAACAAAATTGAATGTGTCAAACTTCAACAATGTATAGCCTGATTGTACAGCTAAGTATGATGAAACTGAAGAATAATAAAGGAAGAGGCACACTCTCTTGAATACACTTCATATAATTGGTCAGTTTTTTAAGGGGCCAGAACAATTTTTAAAAAGTTTTTAAAAGATAAACTAATTATATGAAGTGCACCTAAGAATGTGTTCAAAAGAGCGTGTTCCTATCATTTTTCAATTAAGGAATTACCTGAATTACAAAGCAGCGTGTGTAATTGCGGGGATCATCACAAACAAACCATTCACAAGGTGAGGAATGAAGTGATTGGAGGTCCTTTGCTGCTTCCTGCTTTTCCTTCTCCCCAGCTGCAACCACTGCAGTCATTGTTGATGCTGCCACATAAGCTGCAACCTCTGATTTATAAACCCGTGAAGTGCCTTCTGCTTCTTCTCCTGGTGATTCTCCCCTTTCATTCCAATCATCATTATCACTTTGTTGTGACTTAGCAGCAGCAAGGGACAATAGATCCTTAGCTCGTAATTGGACATAAGAGGCAGCTGAGGCAGCAATATCATAAGCTAGTCGAATTTGATGCTTTTGTTCAATTTCTTTGCCTTTCTTTGGGACATCTTGAGAGTTTACTGAGTCATCTATAGGAATGCGGATCGAGTCCTGATCAAGTTTCAGTTTTAACTTAGTCACTTCAGCTTTCTTCTCTAATGAAGATGTCACAAATTGAAGGTTGTAGTATCTCCTCAAGTCCTTAGCCTGCAAGTTGATTAGCAAGAGTTATTTGTTAATATTTTTTTTTAATCCATACATGGAAAAAAGAAAATGAGAAACATATGTGAACTCTAGATGAATTATCATATCATTGATGTTTACCTTAATTTGGGGTATTACATAAGCCATGTTGCACAAGAAAGCTAGCTGAGAGTATAGTTTAGTATCTGACCATGGCACTTGAACCAAAAAGTTTGAGAATGAGTCACGATCATATGTCACTTCTTGCCCTTCTTCTTTTTCTTCTTGTTCACACGCAACACAAACATTGTCATCTCCATTACAATCACATTCATCATCATACATGTTGTTATTGTATATCACATCAGGATCCATGCTTTCTTTTGGTAGTCTACTTCTCCAATGTTTCTTAATTTCCATAAGCCTCTCTACCCAGTTGGCTCTATTTACTCTCTCTTCTTTACTACTTTCCACCATGCTTTCCTCAATATTTATGTTCTTCTCCTCCATATTAATGTCCTTGCTTGTTTCTGGGTCAAACAATAAGGAACGCAGGGAACTTGGAAGAATGGAACCTGAAAATTGAAACGGGGGAATTCCAATTGATTGGTTGCTCTTAACTTTTGGTGGCACTGAAGTGGCTTGTAGACGATTGATGGAACAACATAAGTGGTTGTCTGAATAAGACCTTCGGATAATCGAACGTGTGCACAGGTCTTTGCTAGAGTGTGAGCGGCGAAGACTATTATGTTCTTTTATAATGTCCATGGTGGCAGAAGTTGCTGCTGGAGAGGTAGGCATGGCAACTGCAGTGTAAGCCATGCTTATAATTTTTATGTTAATCAGCTAGATCCTTCACTGTACTTGATCTGTGCAATAAGTTTTGGTTATTGAAACAACTGCAACATATGAATATGGGTTTTATAAGAAAACTGACAAGAACTATGTTTCTTGTTATAAACGAGGAGCTTTCGAAAGATGCTGAAACTTAAAAACTTCTCATAGTTAAATTAGTTTACCTATCAATGAACGCAACTCCTACATCAAAGGTATAGACGAAAACATCATCAATTCATGCGTGTCAAGACCTAAGTCCAGACATTGTTAAGAACGACACTGTTTATTGCAAAATATTGACGATTTAAACCATCGCATCAGACATTCACATGCCCCAGATGAATATTAGGAAAAGACATTATATAATTCTTAATAAAAACGTTTGAGTTTCATTGTTTGAACATTAAAAAATTGACAATGATTATGACATTATATATATTCCCACTTTGATCTCATGAAACATTTTCCAAAGACATTTACAAGCAAGCTAGTTAACGTCATATGTGTACATGGAGACAAAATACGTTTATCAAGTATCAGGATTCAGGAAAGATAAACGTTATAAGCAACAAGGATAAAAAGAAAAGCAAAATCAATTTTAATTTATCATTTGAAAATAAAAACAAAAAGATCCTTTTTTAATTTATGGAGTTCACCAGTGTACTTATTTTGAAAAAATTGATTACTATATTACTCTTGCTGAAATTTCGGACTATATGTTAAAAGCTATAAATTTGAGTAATACAAATTATATACCTATGTTACTCAGCCTGCAAATCTTATTAACTACTCTGTAATTTCAAAAAACAATACGATACTGTTTTTTTTTTTTTTAAATACTCGAAATACCCAACTAAATTCCTTAATTTAGTTAGTAAAGAAAGGTCACATCTAAAATCGGACATTAATTTTCTAGGAATTTTGAATTGTCACGTATTTATGAGATCAAGCTTTCAACCGACATGGTAGGAAGGAGAGTTAAAAAGAAAAAGACTTCCTTCCAACTTTAAAGACACTATTAATTAGTTAGTATAATATACCAAACACCATTCCCTCTCCCGAAAAAATAAAATAAAATAATGCACCATGCAAGGTAAAGTGCCTCGTAATTTCCAACGTAATATTCCTCTCATATTTTGCTAGTTATAACTAGGTTGAGCACCCTTTGCATGGTAAAGTGCCTCGGAATTGCCAAGGTAATATTACTAGAATATGTTGCTAATTAAATTTAAAATTATTTTCAGAATAAATTAATATTTGTCATAGCCATTTTTCACGATCTTGGCACATGCGTGTCAGTTTAGGAAAACAAATTTATACCAGAGAGGAAATATTTTCAGGTGTTTTTTATATTTAAAATATATTGTTAGGACGTGTATATATATAAAATATATATATATATATATATATATAACACTAAATTTTACAAGTTCAAATAACGAAATTTTGTGTACTATTGTAAGTGCCTAAGTATGCCAATCTAAATGCATGCGCGTGTGAGCCCGTCTTTGTTCATACCTATTTATTTGTGAAGACTTCAAAAATCAATTCATGGATAAAGAATTTATAGTATATGAAAAAATAATAATCATAAATAATTTTAAGCAAATATTTTACAAAACGTTATTTTTCAGACGAGGAAAGCGAAATTGCAAAATGAAAAATAGTTTCATGAGTAGTGTTTATTACAAAAAAAAAATCACCAAAAAAGAATAACAACGATGACTAAAAGCCAAGGAAAATGAGGAATCAAAACCAGCCTTCGTATTCATGTGCAACCATGAGATGAATGAAACGCATCAAACAAAAAATCTCAAGTTTAACAAAAAGAAAAGAAAAAGGTATAATAAAACCATAAAGCTTGAGAGATCAAAGGACCAAAAGTGTGTGGAAAGTGAGAGTTGATATACTAATATAACAGATATGATAATTTGAGCAACCCGAATCAATGTTTGACAATTGTTGAACGATTAGCCAATTGAAGAGCTAAACTAATTAAAAACATAAGATGAAGCAAAGCTAAAAAATAAAGAATATGAAAATGCATGCATATATATACCTTAAGAAGCAACGAATGTAGAGAACAAAAGCAGTATTGAGAAGAAGATGACAATGGTGGCTATGGCAGCAGCTAGGTGGACAAGACAGGTACTGGTATCCGCCAATAGTGTGTTCATGGAAGAATCTTGCATTTTATATTATTCTAAAAAGAGGTTCTCTCTCTCTTTTTTATAATACAACAATAACAATTAATTGGTTCTCAGAGACTGGGAAGCAACACGGTGGTGAATAATTAAACAAAATAGTCTAATTTAAAGTGACCAGGTGATTCCTCTCTGTCTCTGGTCCCTCTGTGTTTATGTTTTATACAGAACTGAACTGTGTACAAAACTAGGAAAGAGAACCTGATCGAAGAATTACAAACTACAAGGAAACGGTCATGGCAGAATCAGCTCACATATGGTCCCAAAATTTCATACTAAAGGCTATTTTTATAGACCAAAATGCCCTTCTCTTTTTCCTTGTAATTTCTTCTTATGTCTACATACTTGTTTGTTTTTGTTAAATCTCTATTTTTCTTCATTGTTGTACGGAGATATAAGTTTCCCTGATGCCTCTTTGTTGTATACACTGTTTGAGTAATTCAAGAGTAAAAAATTCATTAATAAATGATAAATTTAGTGATTAGTTTTAATCAAATCATTAAATTCTTTAATTTGTATTATATTATTGATTCTTTCTTTGAATAGATAAATAAAATAACGATGTATGCTTGTTATCTTTAAGATGATGTTATTAAAAATTTAAATTATTCATCTAACAATACTAATAATGATTGATTTGTTGGGTGAAATTTATGGGATAATTTTTTATTGTTTTTATTTGATGAATTTTTTTAAAATAAAAATAATTGAAAAAAAAAACAGATTGTAATATATTGATACGTTTGAAAATTATTAATCGTTATAGTTTATTAAACTTTCAGCGATAAATGATTTGTTTCTCATTTTTAAAGATTCATAAAAAAATAACAAAAAAATATTATTAAATGTTCGGTTTGATTTTGTTTTTGTTTCTAAAGGAATGACAGAAATGTTTATCTTTATTTTGTTTCATTTTCAAGAAAAACACTAAAAATTAAAACAAAAACAAAATTTTAAAAATATTGTTGAAAAATAAATTTAAAAGTACATTTTTTTAATTATAATTCACATATCTAAATTGATAAACTAAACAAATTTTATCATTTTTAAAAATCAATCTTTAAAATTATAAATAACATCATTAACATCAATTAAAAACCAAACAATTCAAATGAATCAAGCAATGACAGTCTCACCGAAATTGTGTCGGGTCCAAATAAAAAAAGTTAACTTTTACATTAAATAATTATGTTTAAAAAGATAATAAAATAATGAATATATTTTTAATGTACACAAAAAATAATTTATATTTTCTAAACTAAAAATAAATAGACATATGAGCACATAAAATAGTATGAGGTGGACTTCACAAAACGAGAGCCATGAAAACACAAAAAAGTAGGAAGGTAAAATGTCAAAGTTCATCCATAAATATGAACCCATATTTCCGTGTGGGTCTAAGCAAAAACATAAATGCCACATTTGTTAGGAACTTAAGCAGGGGCATTTTCATCATATAATACCAGTGGGGTAACACATTCGTGACACGTGTAAAAACTATAAACAATTTCAGAATAAAAACAAAAACAAAAGGATTGAAAAGCAGTGCCTTGGCAGTGTCATTAGTGCGACGGCCAAATGTGCGGTTGCATGAAGCAGGGAGCGTCAGTTGCTGCCACATTTCTCCACACCGGTGACGGCGGCCGTCACCTCCTATTTCGCACCATTTCTCTCCACGTGTCATTCACCTAATCCTTCCCTTTCAAAAATCTTCAATACTTTTTTTTTTATTAAAAAGATAATTTTTGAGTTGATGCTACTATTATGTCGAAGATACTTTTGGCATTCAAATTCAATTGCTCCGCCACTTTTTATTTTAATTTTTTTGTGGCGCTGGGGTGCGGTTTCTTGTGGTGGCATGCACCGGTCTGGAATTTGGGCATGTTAATATATACATTTATCATCAATAAACTGAAGCTTAACTTTTTAGAATAAAATAAAAATTTATGGACCTTGTTACCAACAAAATGAATTATGACCCAATTTGTATGAAATTATTGCTTTTCCAGAGTATAAGTAAACATTCTTTTTACTAGAAAAACTCAGTAATCATAAATTTCTACTCGTGTGAATGGGGACAATGACAATTATCGGCTCAAAGAATTAAGCAAAACTAATAAACTGACTCGCGCACGGATAAATTATTATGTTATAATATAATATTATAATTATAAATTAAAAAATAATTATATAAAATAATTATAATAATATTTAAATTATTTTAAATTTTACAAATAATTAGTATATATTAATAATATTATTAATAAATTTATTTTATATATTGTATTAAGATTTATAATATACTTTTAAATATTTGTAAATTAACTTTAAAAGTAAAAGAATTAAATTCAAATATGAATTTAATTTATAATATTATAAATTTAATTCTATAAAATTTAAAAATACTCTTATAATTAATTTGTAATAATTTAACATGTATATATACATAACATAAGAATCCATAATAAAAAAATAAATTTTAATATATTTAAAATTTTTTAAGACAAAAATTATCTTATAACACACAATTTAAGAAAAAAATATTAATTTTTTTTTATGAAATAAGCTTATTTTGTGTTTTTAAAATTACTGTCATGTATCATATTTAATTTCTTATTATTAAATTATATATTTATTATTTAAATATAAAATTAATTATTTTTAATATAACAGAAAGATAAAAAAAATATTAAAATAAAATTTTGATTATTTTTTAAAATAAATTATCTATAAAAAATAAATATAAATGTTAAAAATAATTTGTATGTGACTTTAAACATTATAAATGCTA